ATTCAGTTGTATGGATATTCTCAGGGACCTTCCTGATCGAGGACTACGATCAGAACCTGCGACAGGTAAAACAAGCAAGGAGGGTCGCTCCTATTAGTTGATTTACAACCATGACTCTGTCTGATGCCCAACGTGCAGAAAAATCCAGCATAGTTGCATTCGCTGGCGCAGGAATAAGGCGGGGTACGATTGAGAGGTTCGACGATGAGTGCGCGAAGGGGAGGGAGTGGCATGATGTGATTTGCGTGTATGTCACAACAAGCTTCGGCCACAGTGAGTCCCACTAAAAGCTCCACCGAGAGGATTATATGACCTTGCGAATCACACAGTGGACGATGAGGAGCTCGCCTCCCTTTGCTTGGAGCGATTCTCGACTACGAGTAACGCCTATCATCCATGCTTCTTCGTTGTACTTGACAAGAGAACGGAGAAGGATGGAAGCGTATTATTGTACCACCAAAATGAAGATGGTACCGACAGAGTGTCTATCCGGGTCAGCCCTGGAACTATCCCATCTCTTATCGTGTTGCTGGACACGGGAATGAATGATATTCCCTCCATCAAAGCCAACCATTACCCTAAAGGCGAGGAAGAGGCTAAAGATTGGGTGTACGATGCTGTGAGCTACCTTTCTTCATTTGTGAATCACACATTTAATGACCGGGATGTGCCAGTGTCTCGATTTTTCCGACATTCAGATCAACATTAGACTTCCTTCATGGGAGTTCAAGCGACAGTCTCCTGGCCCTGACGACGACATGGAAATCTTGAAGAAGCGCGGGATACGGTTCTCTGCCGCCTATGAAACGGCGAACATAGAATTGAAATGGTTTGGAGAAGCGCCAGACTCCCTGTTGCTGCAAGCCTTCATTTCCGAGAAACAGAACCGTATCTTCGTTACTGGGGCTATTGAATAACTTGATCGACCTATTGTCTCGAAAGTCGAAGGTATTCTGATCGTTGATTAATGTATTTGGACAGGGGATTGGAAGTGAAATGTAAAAGCGGAATTTCAGGAAAACGCCGTCGAGGCCCGTCGTGACGTATCAGTCTTTTGCGATGTTCCTCATACCGGTCATACACGGAGGTTAAAATCCTATACGACAAACGGTAGTCCCATTGAAACATTTGAAACTAAGTGACATTTATTGGCTCCACCCTTTCTTGTAATCGGTAGAAGTCTGTAACGTGTTTGAGCGTGATAAAATAATAGTACTCCATTTGTCCAAGATCGATATGTTCTACGGCCTGTATGGCAAGATGCATCGGCCAGAGCGGAGCGCAGAGAGTAGCGCTCATCAATGACCGGTGTTATTTGCCCTACAGATAGAACCTAGTTTGAGACAACACGATGGAAACCATCGAAAGGTGAGGACGATTTAGTATAAAAAAACGCACTGTGGATTTATTTAGTAAATTGACGGTGGTGGACCACAAGAGAGAGAAGGCTTACGAAAAGACAAATAGAAACGAAATGGACCGAGACCAAGAAATGGAAGGAATATTGCTCACTACCGCATGACGCGCTCTCTACGGTCATGAGGCAATGATCAGTACCCCTTCCTTAGTGGCTGAGACAAGAATAGACTCGATTCTCAGCACCGTCAAAACGACATACGAAGCAACGGCGCACCAAAGAAAGTTTAAATGCCACGTCGCCGTTTCAGCAACTAGAATATCACAATCAAGATGAAAGAGGTGGACAAGACCGACAAACCACGTACTTTAGTTTGCATTCTAAAATATTTCACCTTGTACAGACACAAATAAAGCGCAACAGTTTGTCCTAGACAGAAGGCTTTCACATCCTTGAAGAGGTCGTCGCAGGACTCCAAAGACTTCGCGTGCTCAGCGACGGCTTCTTCTAACCTAGGATGAATGCAAAATCAGCAAAAAAAGGAGAGAGCGATTAACAGCGGCGTTTACATCTGGTAACGCTTTCTGTGAGCCTTCTTGATGCTCTTCAGAAGTCCTTTCTCGAGGTTGTTATGAAATTCGTCCCGCGCCGCATCAAGTTCTGCGATGAGGAGACAGAGGGCTCGCGATGGAAGACCCCAATAGAGAAAAGAGCCGACGAGGACGATGACGAAGAGCGTGTACTGGATCACCGTGCTCTGCGACACAAAGAGCAAGGAGATGAATTGAAAGAGGAGCGAAAACGAGACTTGCGATCGACTGAGAGGCATACTCTCCGGAAGAGCAGGGGAGGTGATAGCCCTCTGGATATCAAAAACACGAGCTTTATACAGTGCGGACACCACCCTTGAAAAATCCTGTGAGGTAAAAAGTACGACACGACGAGTTAAATATCGCCACATAACAGCATACAAAAAAACCGACCCCTTCTTTATGATACGGGTGGAAGAGACCTCAAGCGTCATAATTCGGAAGGTTATGTTCCAGGAATTTTACCACCAGACGCTCAATGAGGACAAAATTTTGAGAGGCCAAGGATGCTCATTGCGGTCATACATGGTGGGTGAAAAGAAGAAGACCGATGGTGATGGGGATACAGCATGGCGACGAGATCTTCAAAGATATTCTGGCCATGGGTCCTGAGCTCGAATTCGAAAGCTAACTTGACTGATCCCTTATGTTTGGCAGAGGTAATGCCGAACAGAGTTCTTCTGTAAAACAGGAGTAATTGTCACTCTCGGTATGTAGAAATACCTGGTATTCCTAGACCTTGCGCCGTCTGCAAGCACAAGACGTGGTCATTTGACACTGGAGAGTGTATGCGATTAATTCCAAGACAATTATGTAGTTTATTAGTAGATGAGAGCAGCGAGAACCTGGAAAAGCGGCGGTCCGCGAGCTTAAAAAATTCCAGGGGTCATGGGAGCACTTGTCATGACAATGCACTCCGCTTTCGAACATCTACCTTGCGGCCGTTCCGTAGTACCATCCGAGTCACGACTTCCTGCTATCACACGGAGGGAATAAGCCTAGACGCCTGCTACAAAGACAAGCATTATCTGCCGCCGAACAAAACACTGTTCGAGAGATATAAAAGGCTGTGGTTATATTTTTCCTCGGAGGAGCAGTAAGATGTTGCTTAGATGCTATCAGTGATTTCAACAACGGGATATCAATTTCCGAGAGTCGTAGTAGTTTAAGGTCCTGTGCAGTGGACGATAAGGTGAGTTGAGGTTCGGGTTCCGATGGTAATACAGTGGAAGATGCATTCACCTATAGTTCAGTGCCTCTATCTTTTTCACTGTTCTGTCCTCTATTTCTCGGGTTGGTTGAACCTCAAGTTCGTTTTAATTACATGCATCCTGGTCGAACTCGGAACGAGTTGGGATTCTGAAGAACATTCGGGGGTGCTCACGAAAGATATCTCTGATAGCAGCTATCCCAGTTTGCGTTATGATAGCCTTTCAAAGACCTTGATGGTTGAACGCTGAGCAACAAGCCTGGAGGGCTGTAATCGGGATGAACAAATTTTGCTTTCATCATGCTGACGTCAGCAGGGCAACATGACGAAACCCAATATGGCTGTGCGACTGCACCTTCTTCCCTTCCACTACCACTACCACTGCCGTGCCGATGGAGGATATAGTGAGCAGAAAGGCTGAGCCATCTGCGAGTCTGGTAAATCAGGAATCCGTTGTTGCAACGAATATGTCCTTCTCACCATCTGGAGAGGCGGCCCCAACAAATACGGAGGTGCAACACAGCACTTTCTCTCGAAAAACTTATGCCTAACGTGTAATACAGGTCAATATTTTTGTAGCAGCCCAGCGAGGAGATGTGCAGCTTCTCAAAGAGCTCATTGAGTCGGGAAAGGCGGCAGCAACGGACCGTGACGACCAGAACATCACTCCGCTTCACTGGTCGGCAATAAACGCTCAAGTACCAGCATGCCGGTATCTCCTCGAGCAAGGCGCGGAGGTCGATGCGCTAGGTGGAGACCTAGTTGCTACCCCTCTGCAGTGGGCCGCCCGTAATGGCTACCTCTACGTGATCCAGTTGCTAGTATCTCATAATGCTGACCCCACCATTACCGATTCGCAAGGCTACAACTCACTACATCTCGTCACGCATTCATCGTCGGTCATGCCACTTCTGTACTTGCTTCATCAACCCATCGGCGTGGACTCGCGTGATTCACAGGGACACACCTCCCTCATGTGGGCGGCGTATCAAGGCGACGCGCTGTCCGTCGATTTGTTGTTAAGACACGGTGCCAATCCGAATACGAAGGACGATGCGGGATTGACGCCACTGCATTGGGCGGTGGTTAGGGCGAACCGGGTCATCGTACGGCGTCTGGTCGAAAAAGGTGCAGATCTGGCGGCCAAAGACGGGGAGGGACGGACACCAAGAGAGATGGCAGTGGAGCTGAAGAGCCTTGGGGCATGGAAGAGGGCGCTTGAAGAAGGAGGTATGAACGAGTATGGGATCAAGAAGCCGAAACCATTGAGCGAGGTGAGTATTGTGATTATTTTCGAATATCTTGGGCTTACTGTCAAGTCGTAGCGGAATACTAAAATCGCAATATTTATGATTCCGACAATGTTCTTATACATGATCTTCATGACCGTCACGATATTGCCATGGTATACTGGCCTCCTCTTAGCCATGGCCGAGTTCTTTGGGATGCATCATATAGTCACGCGTGTCCTCCTCAACAACAACACGTATACAGACAGCGTGCAACAGACGCCATATTTTGCTGGAATCATCTTCGGATCGATGGTATGGGTATTGTTCAGCTGGTTCACGAGACTTGTACAACGTATGTTTCCTCCTTCGTTTCTTCAACCGAAGCTGATGCTTAATCGCAGAAACGCAGTCACACGCTTTTGCACACTTGACCTTTGCTATATCATTCGGCCTGTGCACGTACAACTTCTTCCGTTCGGTCATGCTGGATCCGGGAACGTGTCCTAAGCCAGTCAATGACGGAGAACTCAAAGCGGCGAGTCACCTCCCATGATTCATAGCCTTTAATGTTCCTCATTCCTTGTACAGATTATCGAAGATCTTGCTTCTGAGGGCCATTTAAATGGTCAAACGTTCTGTATACAATGCATGGCTCGTAAGCCACTGCGATCAAAGCATTGTCGGATATGTGACCGGTGTATCGCCCGTAGTGACCAGTACGTTTTCCCTTTTTGTCGCAGGATCATCGTCTGATTGTCTTTTTACAGTCATTGTCCATGGGTTTGGAACTGCGTCGGCTTCAATAACCATCGCCAGTTTGTTGTCTTTGTGCTGATGCTCGTTATTGGCATCATCTCCTTCGATTATCTCGCTTATCGATGTAGGTAAATTAAGACTTCTTCCGCACTATTGAATCTAATAATTACGTCTCAGTCTTCTCAACGATACCACTCTCCATGGACCCTGCTGACATCTCTCTTTCATGTCCTCTTACCGCAGACCTGTGCCGTATAACATCATATGACACCTTCCTCGTCGCGGTCGCCGCTTGGGCTACTCTTCAGCTCTCCTGGACCATCGTCTTGCTCGCTTCCCAGATCTGGCAGATTGTCCGACAGATGACTACTCTCGAAGTGTCCAACCTGGGCCGTTTTGGCTTCATGGGTGGCCGAGGTGGTGCGAGCATGAACGGGCAGATGGGGCATCGGCACAGCCATCAAGGCTTGAGCACGGAGGATACCGCGCTCGTTTCCTCACCACCAGATCATCAACATCGGGCCGGAGGGTTCTTGATGAACCTTCTCGGTTTTGACAGGTTTACGAAAGGCAAGGCGGTCAACGGGCTCGCTCGCGCGGGTAAAGCTAGTAATCCGTTTGATTTAGGCATGTGGGGCAATTGCAAGGACTTTTGGACAGCTGGGCGAGAATTGGGAGTGGAGTATGATAAATTGTACGACGTACCTGTAGAGGGATTCCGGGAGGCCAAGAGGAGGCGAGAGAGGGAGGATGAGCTGGACGAACCTGGGGGGAAGAGGAACAGTAGGAAGGGACTGTTCATGGGGTTAGGGTTGGGCATGGGGAGAGCCGGAAGTAGTAGAGGTGCGTACGAACCTGTAAGCCAGGTATAGTACTTTGTATAAACTTTTTAAAATTTCTACAGAATTATGTACGCTGTCATTTAAGTACCAAGCTTTCGCTTCCAATCTGTATCTTCACCTCGAATAACTCTGATTGGATATATTAATTGCCATGAAATAAAATCTTGGGAGTCATCACTACTGCGGCGTATGACTGACTCCTCGCCGGACTTGTCGACAATTCACATTGGACATGATAATTGTAAAAATGTCTTTTGCCGGGGTGATACATTGGAAATGGGGATTGGCGACCTTCCGCTCAGCCTCTTCATAGATCTCCACCTAGGATGCCGTGTCCAAAAGAGTAGTGCGGGTATATTTTTAATCATAAAGGGAAAAAAAAAAAAAAAAACTATGTTACATAGTAAGAATCGTGATTTCCAGTCCATCATGAAATAGTTCTTTCAATCGATTCGTAGCTGCAGCTGAGAGGGGAAGGGGAGCGGGACTACGTATCTCGGCTCGTACATATTTCAACTTTGGTGCACCACCATATGCCCTGCTACTATTACATCGGCTCGCCACCATGTCGACGAACACGTCGTCGATGAACCGAACGCCTTGGGAATCTGTGGCGTCTGATACCTCGATGGAAAATTCGGTTAGAGCCGGGAGCAACGCTTGACGAGCTGGGGGGGAGCACTCGATCATTCCCTCGACGACGCACCGCATGGTGCTGTCGTACTCGTCGCGCCAGAAGATGAACGACATCTCCAGGACTTCGAGGCGGGGCATCAGCTGGAGCAGGTGGATGAAGTCCGGAGTGTTGCTGATCGACACTTGTGTGAGGATGAGGGATGTGAGGGAACACTGGGAGACAGAGATGAGGACATGCAGCGATGGGACGACATCGTCCGGACATGGCAGCATGCAGTTGTTCTCGTCGGTGCCCAGCCAGAGCGTTTTGAGGGCTGGGAGGCGCAGGCTTCGGAGCAAGGCGCCCTCGGAAGCCTGCAGCGTGTGGAGAGACGCGTTCTCGATGCGTGGCGTGACAGGAAGTGTCGAACGCGGATCAAACCGATTTCGGTGATATACGTGGAAAGACTGTAGAGCGGGAGAGTGTCGGATGGTGGCTAATAGACGGGCGTTGAGCGCGTTATCTCCGAGCTCGCGGTCATCACGGAACTGTCGCAGTTTTGGTGAGGAGAGGGGGATGAGGGTGTCGATGTCGTTGTCTTGGAATCCTTCGATGGAGATTGACTCGAGCCGGGGGGTCATCTCGAAGGCGTCGATATGCAGAGGCGGCGTTTCGTCACCGGCGTAGGTCAAATTTACTTGGGATAGCCGTGAGAGGCGGCCACGAATGGTCGAGAGCGTTCCGAAGCGTTCGGAAGATAAGGAGAGCTGCGCAGTCTTCCACCGGTTGGACTCGAGGGCCAACAGGGAGAACAGCACTGTCGCTACAGCTTTCCGTTTTGACTTTTGTTTACCGCCATCCCGGAATTGGATGAAGAGGTCGTGTTGACCGGAACGATGTAGTGCGGTTTGGACGAGGGAGAAAGGGTCTTTGCGTCGGAAGGAGGAAGGGGTAATGGTGATGTCCGACCAGAGTTCGGGGCAGTGGACGGTGGCGATGGTACGCCAAGTACTGCAAACGTGGCTGAGGATCCAGGGATCACTTGTGGTGTCGGTGACTCGGAGACAGTTGGTGTGCAGGAAAATCTCCATGAGTATTTCGGGAGGAAGTCGGCGGATAGGGGATAGTACTGATTTGAGGTCGTTGGAGAGCCATTGTAAGGTCCTCCGTTTTTCATTGAGTTTGAGCATGATGCGGCGTATCTCGAATTCGAGTTCTTCTTGGGCAGCGTGAACGGTTTGTTGCAAGTCCATGAGGTGGGGAATTTCAGACAATGGAGGTGGGTCGTTAGTGCTGCAAAACGCGTATAAAGAGTCCGGGATTAATATGTCGTGAGTGCAAGGAGCAGGTTCGTAATGACTGCCGCAAGCGTTACACGAATAACAGTCGAACATCTACAGAAATCACCTCAGTTGATTTGCCAAAGTCTAACAGAAGCATAGCTCACCTTAAGAATTAAATAAGATCATCAGCATCCAACTTTGTAGATATTCTTCCAGGGTCTTCCGGTACCTGATAAGCCAGATAAGACGCGTCTGCAGGAAGTAGTGAGGAAGAGGTATTATAAGGAAGAATATGGGAGATGCGAACATTAAAATTCCAGGGTGGATCAGTGAAATCCACTGCTCGAAAGCGGAACGCTGTATGGTACAGAGAGCGAGAGAGGGGGGGAGCCTTAAGCCCCATCAATGACGAGAGCAGGCATAAAAATATGAAGGTCGCGCCAGGGTCGCGAATCGCCGATTGATCGGGAACACACGTGGGAAGCTGACACCAGGTACTCCGAGTCCGCCACTCAATCTGGACCACACGACCACTGCACGCTTGGGATTATTGGTACGCACGGCGGCGCCAATAACGCCACAATTTTGGCAGCTTCCTTTTGTGATATAATACAAACGAACCAATGGCCTGGCTGGGGGGAAATATCCACTGTGGGACTCGGATTTGCCAAGTTTGCTGTCATTCATGGCTTTGAGGCCAACGGAATGTCATTACACCCTAAGCCGCATATGTCTATCTCGTGGGCCACGGAATTTCCCAGCGATTCCATATGTATATGAGCTTGGTCGAGAACCTATGGAAACGGTGAGACGTCTTTCCACGCTTTGGCGCAGTCGTATTCGATGAAGGGGCCAAGCTGTGCGCTTTTTTCGGCAGCGCCGCCGCCATGCTAGATGCCGAACTTTTATGAGGGTAGTACGACCCTATCAGTCCATCTTGTCTTTGAAATGGGGCTGTAGCAGTACCTTCCAGCGTCGAACATTTCTTCGTTGAACATCCTCCCTGGCCTCGTGCGCTTATCTGCCATACTTTCCGAGTTTTTTCCTATGCACGCGTACTTATCATCCAGTCAAGGAATTCTTCAAGAGTTGTCGAGCTCCTCTAGACCGAATCGGCTCGCCAAAAAAGGCCAAAGATCACCGAAACCCTTACAGCAAAAAAAAAAAAGTCAGTGTGGCAAACATACGTACGTGTGGTTTTACCGAGCGTCTTTCTGGCTGTATCTCAAGAGACGAGACAAAGCTGTACCGGTTGAGGCGCCCGATGTCGTTATTCGCTGTATCCCGAGTTCCCGATAACAAAGTTGAACGTTTCCCTTCCTGGCATCGTATTTCATCGAAGCTGACGCAGTTCCTTAAGATCCGCATCTACGGTGGCAGAACTTATGAAACGAAATGAAATTTCGGGACTCTCCATCTACGCACCCAGGGCGGGATGCCGTACCTTTCCTTTATGTGGACATTCCGCCTTTGGCGGAATGAGATGGACTGCCTATAGCAGCTTCTCGTCAGCTGAGTGTTCGCAGAGATACGGTATGAGAACTTTTTCAAAGTGGTACTCTTGGCTCTCCGTAAAGATTCAGTCCTGAAATACCGTCGCCAGGGCAAGTGGCGTTTCTCGTTTTGAAGGAACTGTCATTTCGGTCTTCGGTTCACGCGGTACCGGTCCGTGTCAATCATCAGTGACCTGTAATTCAGCTTTCGCAGATTTCCGCGTCATCAGTATTTACAGGAACGATCGGCTCGCTGAACATATTGCTAGTTGGAGATGTGCCAATCCATTATTGTATTTGTGGACTCACCCGGTAACCCTTCGAAAGATTTCTGCGCCACAGCGCATCGCCAGACTATGGAGAACCCCATACCCCCAACTGTCTGGGTATCGGACCGTATATCCTTCGAGCATGTGAAGGCATCCTTGAAGCCAGATACACAAGTCGTCCGGTCTCAAGTACTCCCCTCTTGAGTGTAGCAAAGGTACGGTTACGCAGCCCCGGCTGTTCTCGCAGAAAGCGACAAAATCCTGCAGGATTCTCTCCCCCGGCTGCCAGCTTGTATTTACCATTTTCTCTCCAGCTCTGACGAAAGTATTAAAATCGCCGTCGCAAGTCAAGTACCGGAGCCGGGAAATGTCATTGTTGATCAGGAACTTTGGGGGAAGGGCCGGGATTAATACTCCCACAGGCAATGCTGACACGCGTTATCCTATTGTGGCGTCGCTTCCATGTTGGCGAAGGATAGCGCCGATGCACCAGGGCCCACGGTGATATCAGCTGAGCTTGATGAAATCATGACCGTGGGTTGAGTAGACGATGATATCATGCTCGATTCATTTTCTTCATTGAATGTCGTACGACCATGTGGTGGGTCTTCTTTCGGAGGCAAGGCACTTCGTTTATCGCGTTCGAATCATACCATTACCCCCGAACCCTCGGTGGCGGCAGTATTGTCTTGGATTACGGAGCATGAGGAGAGGCGTTGTCCCGCTGTGCCATATAGCCCAAGTCCACGCATGCGAAGAACGCCGCTTCTCTACCAACTCTTCGTATTTCCAGCGCGGCTGTTCCACGAATCGAAACAAATCTGTGTGCTTTGCCTTCCGCGAGATTTCCAGGCGACCGACACGACATCATGATGCACTGACCCCAGAAGATGATTTCGGTACCTGTGAGATACGGGAAAACACCGGAGCGCTCACATTTTCGCTGTTTCCACACGGAGGCAGAGGAATGGATGACAGAGTCCCATTAATCCTGGAGCTCCATCCATGAGAACCTACCTACTCGGGGTTTGCTCCTTCTTTCGCCACAACATAAGCTTTAAGCTTTAGAGGCGGGAGGATACAATGTGACGACATCGTGAATGCTTGGGTCTCTCGGCCGTTAGGAGCCTATTAGAGCAGTGTCAAGTTCGAGTGCTACCCGTGAGTGGCGGCACCCCAGTGTTAATATATCCGCGAAGCCATTCATACACACGGTCAATCGATTTGTTTCTCCATCCGGTCAAGGTTGCGATCTCTCTGCGGAACCTGCCAAGAGCTTGAATACCGCCAGTCATGTTGCCGATATTAACTCGAAGGCAGAACATTTGATTGGTCAATATTATTATGCGCATCGGGCCTTGGGGGTCATCGATACTATAATCCCCGGTGCTGCGTATTCTCAATCGACCGTATAAATGGACAGCGAGACAACGGAAGGACTTGTGGGGCAAGTTGGAGCGAGAATCGGGTATTTCGAACGAACGTCGGACACCCACGGCCGTGTGACGCCAAGTGCCGGTGCCGCTTTCAACAAAAACCCATGATGCGCCACTTTATGAAGACATCGACATATGAGTGAAACTTCAAACTAAAAATGATACGAAGGGATACATCTTACCGGCAAGAAGCAAATGCCCGGCTTGAGGCGAGCTTGATGTTCCCAATGATCCAAGGTCACAATACCTAAAAATGATTCGTTTCAGCTTTTTCTTCGAATCAAACCGCTCAACCCTTAACGAACATCTCCCGCCTTGGTATCATGACAAGAGTACCAAGTCTGGCTGGGAATTTATGCCCATGTATCCAATCTACTAGCATACGAGGCTAAAGATTCCCAGTGATGCGTTTTACGTTCTTCCAAAAGCGAGGACGGAACCGCGTTATCACAAGGACAATAAAATGGGGTTGGTGGGAGATGGACAATAATCTTCACCACCTCCAGAAAACTCTGAGAGCTGACGAAAGGAGAATGACACACAATGAAAATATGATCACATAGCAAACAAAGCAGGGAAGAAAGAAACGCCGTGACTACATAAGCGTCGCTTCGGACCATCACTTCAAACTAAGCAATATTCAGTCACTCAGTGACGCAGCGAGGAACGCACAAAAGCCAAGAATAACGCACGCCATAAAGATTCCTGCGCAGACGATGACCGCCAGTACGATATTGCAGATCCCCACACTTGGCGGAAGAATGGTTGCGCTTGCACGGAGAGGAAGGGTGGCTGCATCTTTGCTCAATACTGCTTCGGGATGCGCCACTTTTCGTCCTTCTTGTCCTCGGAGTGATTGCGTGACAGAAGTGCTACAGCCGTATCAAGCTACTGGCTCGCGCAAGTTTGAAAAGACTGTCCATACGTAGGCAACGTCAGATAGCGGACCGATAATCAGAAGGAACATCAACATACAGAGAATGATCTTTTCAAGAAGGCCGGCTAAGGTAGGACGATGCTCTGGTCACCTCGCTCTACGATGACGAGTCCGTTGTCTACCTTGGTGGGATCTGACATATTCGAGGAGTCCAATGATGAGGAGAGTAACGTAGGGCAGCAGTCCTGCTTTTGCGGGTTTTCAGAACCAAGGATCGCCATTAGCTTTGCTGTCCCATTATTGAACGTGAAGTTTGGATAGCGACATAAAAGAAGCGGACACACACTACTCACCGGTTGGTTTCCTGGGTCAATGTACTGCAGAGGACGAAGGCCCTTCACAAAATCCCTTCTCTCTCGTAATTGCGCAGAAGATGACGACTTCCATTGTGCATCAGCGCTTGCCAGTATTGATACTTGATACTACCTCACCTCTGCCTGAGCCACGCCGTAAAAGGGCTCCAGTCGCTGAGTATTCCATCTCCCTACAACACGAAATCTCTAGAAGTTCCTTGAAGATTCCAACCAAAACGAACCATGTCGAATATCAACATCCGTTCCTCGCGATATGTGACGAACGATTTTTCCGGACAAGTCACTAGGGCGTCAGTAAAAAAAATTCACTGAAAGTAGCAGGTATGGCCGATATGATTCCGTAGGAAAACGTTGTTCGCTTGACCTAGATGCATCCCGACGCATTTACAGACATTTCACGGGGGGAAATGTGGAACAAACTGACTGGGCAGACGCAGAGATCTGTACAAGCATCGAAGATAACGGTGAGCAATGGCAAAATGTGGATGACATACTGACCGCTAGTGGCAGGGACAGGATGGAAGTGCCGAAGGCAGCGGGGACGCTCTTTCCCACAGTATTCAATCGACAAAGCGTCTTGTCCGGTTCGCGCCAAATCAAATTTGGTTCAAATCAAATCCCCTTCTGTTTTCTGCTTTCCTGATAAATATGCCTCAGTGTGGTTTCTGAGGCGGCATAGCTACTATCCATGTGCCCATTGTTGAGGGTGGCATCTTCTACAAATATACTAGGTTGGAGTTTTTTTTTGCCATCCCCAATGTCACCTAAGGACGAGGGTAACGTCCTTCAAATATGCAAATTTCCAGAACACAACGTGGCAGAAGCTTCTTGGGGTCTATCAAAATTAAGCGACCGATTTCCAATAGGCCGCCCTTGTGATCTTCTGAGCCCCGGTCTGCCCACAGTCCACTCAATATCTTCATTGAAAAGGGAAATGATACGCAGAACTGCCTTCCATTAGTATCGCTTGTCTGAGTAGCATTAGCAGTATTTCGTTGGTGCTGGCGATAGTTGGCATTGCCGAATCACCACTCGCTCTCCAAAGGTTCGTAATTGACTCTGGGCTCAGCACTTAGCACTTACTCAAGTTCTATATGTTCGGTGTTTCAAACTTGAATTCTTCCACGGTCCTTGCATGGCCTTGTTACCATCGCTATTACGTTGCCAAGCTTCCGATAATCCTAAGACAGACAATTACCCAATTCTAGGCACCGCTTCCCCTGGACCCCAATCTTGAGAACGGAAAAACCTCTGATAACCGAGGAGCTAATATTCTTAGCAAACTTTTTCTTTGGTGATGAATGATAACAAAGGTCTATCTCGTACGTGTCGAGTTATATATGATTCTTCTCCCGATCCGCATCGAGCAGTCCCAGAAGGCGCATTTTCGATGTTCGAAATCCGAAATTACCCATCTTTCACTTCCCTTGCGAGCTAACATCCTACTGAATCTCGACTACTAGTCCTCTACAATCGGTTCTTTTTTCTTTGGCAATAAAACTCTAATCCAGACTCATGGACAACCCAGCGAAGGTTACGAATATATTTATGCTGTTTTGTCGCCTGGCAAGCTAATGTCCTCATGGGCGGATTTTTACATAACACGATCTCTGCCCAATATACTTATACATTCACCTTCGAAGCGCACAGCCCTCCAGGAGACCTTTTCCCTTCTCCCCACCTCCCTCAATCCTGAAGCACTGCCAAAATCCTCTCTCTATGCAGCATCGTGTCACCGTTGTTGCGTTCCTGCTACTACACCTAGTCTTAGCAGCCCTACCATACGACGACCAGCGAATTCATTACGCCGTTCTTGTCCTGAAGGAGCTCTTTTTGTGGGCCCTCCCGTCCACCGCTATAGAAGTCCTTGATCGCGAGATCGAAGGAGCTCATAGAGACCTTCTCGAGGCTGTAGAGGCGAGGCGGCTGGGGAGGAACCCCTCAAAAACTTTGCGGGATATATTTTATAGGTGAGCAATGCCGTGATATTTTTGGGCGTGACATCTGAGTTTTTTTTTTTTGTTTTAACTTCCTAGGTTGGAAGATTCGTTCGGTGTTTTGCAAGAACAGACCAGACTGTCGAGTAGGTACCCATGGACCGACTTTTGGGCGATGTTACGTGGTAGATTCATCCCAATCTATATGTGCTTATGGGAAGTCAAGGATTTCAGGCGGCAGATTGTGGTATGGCTGGTTATCCGCTCCTATCTCGACGGTCTGATAATCCCTTTCTACAGAAGTACAATCACAAGCATGGAATTTAGGCAAGTTCAGTTCTACCACTGTGGGCATACGCTAAATGAGTGGTATACAGTGCCATTCCCTATATTCTCTTGGTAGGGGTCTTGCTCATCGATCTCGCGATCTTAGAGCTTGTCGCGCGATCGTGAGCAATCTCCCTCTCATTTTCTTCCTCCATCTCTCCGTTTCCTTTTATCGGACTCCTTCGGTGAGACGTCATCTATAGCCATATTTTTCCCGCTTTCTGACTTCTCCCCCATAGTGGGCATCGCGTTATTTACTTCGTTCGGGGGATCAGTGCCGAGGAGGGACTGCTATCTCCGGACTCATTGCTTCATCCCCAACCTATGATGCCCAAATAATGAGGGCCGGAATCAAGCGTGTTAAGTAGCTCTCACCCTGGATTTCGACCAACATCACTTGGCGTCATAGTCTTGTATGTATATAAAAGATTTAATGAACAAAACATGTCTCGTTGTTGTCAGGATGAAGAATTCAGTGCGACTCCTTCACAATATACGGCACTTCTGGCAACTCGTTCAGCAAGCCGTTCTGCCAGATATGTACGGCATTTGCAGATTTTATCGTCTTTTCACTAAGCGTCTTTCGTATAGCCTTAGATCATAAAACAGAGCAGCGATTGGAGGATAAATCACGGTACTATGGGCTCTATTCAATATTGGATGCCATGCTGGCTCACCAGAAAAAGTAAACCTTCACCAACTGTGCCATCTTCCAACACATTATGCATGCCTACACCTTGTCCCATCAACAGTATAGTTCAGTATAAGCCATCTGCATGTCTGGAGACTCTGATTTCACCGGTGACCAATGCTACAATACAAATTTCAGCACTGGAGCTGCAATGGACAAGATATGGAAAGGCCCTATGCTCTCAAGAGGGGGACTATGCTCACAACAGTGGAAAAGGAGGCCTGTCATATGGTTGAGATTGTTACGATTTTTCCCATTTTCTTTTCTTTTTTCCTCGGAAATGACCCCTATCTTTGCTTAGTCAGGGTGCTTAGGCCGGCGCTTAGGACCATGGGAATGCTTAGCTCAGCAGCCCAGTCAGTCAATCTCCTATCACCTCCTATTGCGCAGCTGTGTGCTGTGAAGGGAGAGACAATGCTCCTTTTGTCTCTAAATTGCAGTGCAGCAATAACAGCACAACAGCACAACCACAGCTTTTGTGGAGAGCCTGGCAACAGCAGGGATAACAGCTCTACAGCAGACAATATCTTTTGTGAATAGTTATTTATAGTGAGATAACAGAACAGTATTTAAGTAGCTTAGTTCTCACTGTAATACTCCAGTCTTGAACTAAAGTTTACTCTTCACCAATCTACTCTCGAGCTCAACTACTTGCACCTTGAACCACTTCTACTATTAACTTTTGTGAACTCAGTCAGTCTAACCCAAAGTGCAAGGTTCTGAACTGTTTATCACATGTTGATAGTCACATGGGATTTGGGCTTAACAATTAGTTTGAGACTTCTCCATTCCCTTCCTCAAGCCCAATTGTGCTGAGGAACCAAATGCCTCCTGCCCTTGATCCTTCCAACCCAAACTTTACTCACGAGTTCTTTGAACTCTTGGCATCTATTATAGGAATCTTGATTGGTCTTCTGGTGATCATACAGCTGTGCTGTAGATGCCAATCGATCGTAGCTTGGACAATCAGGCACTATCACAAATTCCAATGCATCTGAACCATCCTCCAAAATGTCACACCAGACCTCCCTCTCCATGACATCCCTGCCTCTGCCCAACAGTCTTTCTGACCTGCCGAAGGAACCGACCCAGAAAGTGTTCCTGGGAGCTTGGCTCAAGGGCATGCTAGGGAAGAAGAAGAGAAGCAGTATCAGCAGCACACATACCCTCTGTGAGCCCCAACAGCAGTCGTCTAAAACCCTGACAATCCTTGGGCTGCAGGGTTTCAACAACCCAGACCTGATACCCCCATCCTGTCCCCTCAGCACAGTATCCCAGCGACCAGGCCAGCAACCCCCATTTCTAGCACCGGCATTGGGCACTGTGCTAGAGACTCTCTGGATGCTCTACAGATGGCTTGAGAGACCAGAAGTCTCAGGGGCTGTGGGTCCTGACATACCACATCTACATGACACAACAGCATTGATGACAGAAATGAGTCCTATTGGAATGACGACAGCAACAAGTGCCACTGGTGGTGAGCCGCTGCCATCGAGGTGAACAGGATAGAGTGCCACCTAGCTGGTGGTAATATTGGCCAAGCAGAAAGCATATGAATAGTACCAAGCAGAGCACAGCCAATCAGCCCCATCATCCTGGGGCCCCTGAGAGTGAGCCCAGTATGATGTGCCAGAGACCTTTCCGAGTACTGGCAGAACCAGGCACATATCGACAATGAGATTACAAGGGAGAATGCCCTCTTTGGGTGGTACCTCTGGGTATGAGCAGCAGAGGAGCATAGAAGAGGTGAGGGAGGTAGCTAGGGAACAACCATCATTGGAACCACCATGCCTGACTCACCTTTCTGGGAACCTGCCACTCCCACCACTGAGTCCAACCCCTAGGCTGACTACCATGAGGAAGAGACCCAGCCCCACCTTGATGACAACTGCCTGTTATCTTACAGGACTAATACTATTGCAGAGACAGAGGACATCTCAGTCCAGGGAAATGGAATTCCAGCTGAGAGAGGAACCATCAGAGGAGATGATGAGGGTATCGACCCCATCAGCAACCTCAAGAGGTTTTTCAATAGGGCCTTCGTGGCTCTTTTCCTCAACCTGAAGTTTTACAGAAACTTCCACCAGTATCACAGAGCAATGGCATTGGGAACAGCAGCAGACATTGAGGAGCCACAAGAGCAGCCCGAGCAGCAGCCTTCTTCTCACCCTGGACCCAGTGATGCCAGATCCAGTATGCAGCCTCAGCCTAACTGAGCCAATAGTTTATGACCCACTCGTCAGTTTCCCCCTTGAGGATGAGGTGGGAACTGATATGGACGACAAGACTGAGGAGGCAGACCCCCATCAGGAGAGCAGGGAATGGGCCTCTAGCTGAGAAGGATTATTCAAACCATCGACAGAAGAAGAATTGCGACAAGAGGCATGCAAAGCATGGGAGGAGGAGTTTACCCAGCTGTACCAAGAGCAGATAGCTGGGTTGTGGAAGGATGATCTCTAGTTGAGATCATCCTTAGGACAAAGGTATAGGTTCGCAGATTTCCTTGAAAAAAAGGAAATTCTGCAGTATGTAGCCACTGAGCAGGCCATTTTTAATTTTAATCAAAGATATTCACATTATCAGATGGAACTGTTGCCACCGTACAAGCCGAAGTACAGCAGAAGAATGGCACCAAAAATATGGATGCTGAGTGTCATGCCATCCAAAACAGCAGACATGGCATCATCAATCCAAATGGCATCTTCTCAGTACTCGTTCACCATGATGGCCATCTGCAGCATGGCATCTCAGCTTGCCAGGAGCTGACCACAGGCAGCCTGGCAACACCCCAGCTCATGGAGGCTGCCACTCTTTCTCCGACCATTTGCCAGACAGCTGCCTCCAGATGAGGCCAAAGGAAGTGGGAAAGTGGCACTCAAGGTGTTACGATTTATTCCGATTTATTCCTTTTTTTCTTTCCTCTACCCCTATTTACGCTGAGACACAAGACCGTGGGAAGCTTAGTCAGCACAACTAAAACCTTCCATCAGGACACCATGACGGTCGTGCTCGATGACACACAATCAACCTTTTATGTACGATGGCGATGCTCAAGGACAACGAGCACAATGGACGAAGATACACATAATAAGTAGTAGTATAATTAGCAGATAACCGAATAGTATTTAAGGACGATAGCTCTCGCTGGTATACCCCAGCTTCGAGCTAAAGTTTATATTCATACCATTCTACTCTCGAGCCACTTTGTGGCCTTGTGACGTACTGAGCTGATAACATCATCAGTGGATTCAGGTGATTCCTTGAAGTGCGAAGGAACACCTGTCTATCACATGTTATCTATCACATGTCGCTTGGGCTTAACACAAGGCACCTCCCTTCACAGAAGATGACCCTGAGGTGCTTGCCCAGGGCTGGACCATTAGGAATGGGAGGATCATGTGAAAGGAAGTCTCAAAACTGGGAAGTCCTGTTGCCGATGATGGATCTCTCTATTCGTTCCCAGGACCTCCAAAGAGATGGGTGCAACTGTCTCATGGCAGACTCCTGAACCTGATGCCCACTCTGGATGCTGCCATCTAAGTCCTCTAAGTTAAACCGATCCTATGTGCTGAACCCCACTCCTTTCGAGGGGCATCTGATGACATTAACCGCTTTCTGGTCGACTGTGACCAATACTTCCAAGTCTTCACCCTGTACTTCCTTGCTGACATATACAAGGTAATGTTCACCATCATCCACATGGCAGACAAGGCCAAAATATGGTGGGTTTTGATTGCCTCTATGTTCTGGTCTACTACCAGGGACCATCACTGATATCTCACATGGCCGGTCTTCAAACAAATGATCAGGGAAAAATTCATAGACCCTACTGTTCAGGAAGTCCACAAGCAGAAGATGAAGGAGTTCAAGATGGCTGGCAAACCGGCCACAGAATACTTTGATGAATTGGAATGATTCAGCACGCTTGCTGGAGTCCAAGAAGACATTGCTGATACTGGCTGAATGGTCAAATATATGAAAATGAGACTGCCATCCCATTACCTCATAACCATTTTGGATATCGGCCAGAACATTCCTGTGGGCTACGATGAATGGAAGAGCCGGATCATCACAATGTACAAGAAGCAGCAACGACAGAGGGCCAAGGTGACCACTTTGGCCTATGGCCATCAAAGTCAGAGACAGGGACAGGGCCCAAGGCCCTCCACCTCCAGTATGACCACATCTGCCAAGCCCGATGGCTTGGCCCCAACTTCATACAGAATGAAGCAAACTGGTACAGGCATGACATATACTGAAATAGGTCAGCCAATGGATGTGGATCACCTCAAGAAGGGGGGGAAGTGCTTTAATTGTGGTCAGAAGGGCCACATGGCATGAAACTGCCCTCAGAAGAAGAACAAGCACACACAGGAAGATATCCAGATGCAGATTTCCAAGTTAATGAAGGAGGAACAGGATCTTGGCCAAGATGATCAGGCCAAGGAGGTAAAAGGTGAGGCCGAGGAGTGAGTGATTCCACTGACTCAGCCAAGGAAATGAGTAATGGGTCACAGACTGCTGGACAGACTGACATTTTATTTTCTGTAAAACCACCCCCTATGTCTAAATTATACATGCATTCGAATATACCCAACCCCGTTATTCACTATCATGAATTGCCTAAGGAATCAACT